TCATTGAATATTTGGTCCATAAAGGACTGAATGCTGATGTACCGGCCCTGGTTAGACACTGCCTCACCAACACTTACTTCACCTGCAATGGAACATTCTACAAACAAGTTGAAAGTACCCCAATGGGTTCTCCCTTATCTCCAGTTGTAGCCAATGTTTTCATGGAAAACAGTGAGACAGATGCCATCCAGGCATCCACTCTACGTCCGTCCTTGTAGAAGAGGTACGTAGACGACACGTTCATCATCTGGACACATGGCCTACCAGCTCTGAACCAATTCGTCAACCACATCATTTCCATAGACTGTAGCCTGGTTGAAGGGAAACAAGAAAGTAATAAAATATATATAAAACAATAAAATTCTCACGACGTTTCGACAATAACACAAACGGTCGTCATCAGGTGTCGGTTTGCAAACCGACACACCTGATGTGTTATGGTCGAAACGTCGTGAGAATTTTATTGTTTTATATATATTTTATTATTTTGTTGTTTCCCTTCAACGTGACTTTACCGAAAGAGCTAAGAATATGAATTACTGCAGTCACGAAAGATTTAAATAAAAAATGTAGCCTGGTTATTAAGTTTGGTGCGTGTACTGGCAGTCTATAATGTAGACTGTAGCCTGGTTCTTAACCTCGGTGAGCGTATTGGCATTCTATAATGTAGACTGTAGCAATGGTTATTAAACTGTGTGTACCCTGTGCAGGTACACTGTGTACACTCTGTATGTACATGGTGTGTGTACAATGTGTGTGTACATTGTGTACACAATACATGTCTACACTGTGTACGTGTGTGGGTGGTCCGAATCAGTTGGGCGGCATTATCTTTTCATCAGCTGCGCAATGCTGTGTGGAAGCTACCTGGTTTGTCGCTCCACATGAAGCTTCGGGTCTTCTCGGCCACAGTCATGCCCTCCCTTCTCTAGGCATGTGAAACATGGACCCCTCTAAATGGAACATCTGCGCAGGTTAGAAACTCTCAGGCTGGTATGCCTACACTCAAATTGAAGTAAGCGAAGTGGTAGCACATTCTCTATTTATTGCAGAGGTTCAAGGTTCAAATGGGACAGGCACCCCTGGCTACTCCAGAAACATTAACCAAAACATGCACCGTCTGCTTAACAGTGGATGTGTAGTGGGTTCTACGGAGATGCACACTAGAAGCTTGGAGGCAACACGTTTATTATAACACCCCAACAGGGTAGCTGCATAAACGTACACTTGATTAACTAGGCCACAACGGGGTAACTATACCACAACGGGGAAACTACATAACTGGGTCAGTCAGTAACATACTGCCTGACCCACGAACATAAACATCGAAGACCGAGGACCGAGGATCGAAGAGACATAGCACCGACGTGTTGATTCCAGAAGACAGCCGCGATTGCTCTCAGGCCATCCCTCTTATGCTGACGAGCGTGGACTTGCTCCGCCTCCGGCACTTCCCCTTCTGGATCTTTCCAGAAGGATCTGGAGCCAGCATCACATGTCCCTCAAGCCCCCTTTTGGGCCCCCTTGCTACCCAATGCCGGTCACGTGCCCTCTCGAGGTCACCCAGACTGCCATGTTCTCACTCGATTTCTCTCTCACTGTTACCAGGACTATGCTCCCTAGGGCCCGCTTCTGTGGCATACCCACTTTGGTGCCAGAGAGAGATCCAATACACAAAGCTCCACTCTTGTGATGGTAGCTGGTGCTAAAAGCCATAGCGACTCCATTTATGTCACTACATCACCCCCCCTCCCCCCCCCCCCTTTATAAAACACAGCAGTTCTGGCTGATCACTATTCCTTAATTACCAACAGTAACAACAAAAATGCCTCCCAAATTTTTCTGTGCAACAATAAACCCAACAACAGTCGGCAGAAAAATATACACAGTTACCGAGAAAGTGAAAAAACCCCCACACACTCAGAAAAAAACTTTGCAATTTGTACAAGGACTGACTCAACCTCCAGACAATATGTACATCAACCGAGGAGTACCCAAAAAAAATTTCCGCGGACACATGACCAACACAACCCCCAGACAATGTACACCCCCAACACCCACAACATGTCACAACCCACGAGCACATGAAGGACCAAGTCCAACCGACAGCACAATCCGGCTCGTGTGTGCGATCGTGTGTGCGATCTCCAACAGCGTAGGGATAAATAAGACGGTGTGGAAGGGTCATTTCAACAGCGGACTTAAAGAAGGCCTAATGGATGCAGCCCCTCCCAGGAAGAAAAACAGGAGGAGCAGGAGTGGGTGACGGCCGCTCCACTCTCCCCAATCCACATCCGGCCGGCGCAACTGGCAACTCCAAGGGTGTCAGGTGCTGGGATCCTGTGGGTGGAAACCAGAAAACTCCTAAGGCACGACCTCCGCGGACACACGCCCCAACTCGTCGGACACATCAGCCACCCAGCCCTTGGGTAGTGGAGATGAAGGGATCCCGCCCGGCAAAGAAAAAAACGCACACACCCCTCGACACAACAAGGACGTCAGTGTCCCCTGCCACCGTGCAACCATCCCATCAAACAGCGCGCAGCCTGTACAACTTTGCTCCACAGAACGGTAGGCACCCCAAAGTTATAGTGTTACAACTCTCCTTCACACACATCAGCAGCCCTACTTTGAGGACCACTATGGACATTTCATGTCACCCTTTAGCACCCCTCGCTTTTCCGAAATGGCATCTCAATTACAAAATCGTACACGTCAACCGGGGGGTTCAGTCAATCATCGATGCCACCATTGTGTGAGTTGATTCCGTAACAACGACACATGATGCACGGTACTCATCACATTTGCACACTGGGACCTCGGCAAAAACCCGTTACCACCCCCCCGACGCGGAGTTTCACTTTAACAGTAGCACATGTTGGCCGTATCGGGAGGGAATTTAAACCGCCTCTCTCACCAGGGCTCGCATTGTAGCATTCGGCTGTACATAATCAAGATGGAGAGGACACATCAACGCAATTTGACTGCCAGATGGCAGCCCATCGCACCCTAGATCCACCAGGATCATAAGGGGCATTCTCGCACGAAAAAATCTGTGCAATGGACAGGATACAGCCAGTGACTTTGAAACACTGGACCTGCCATTCGGATATCCCCATTACAATAAAAACAAGATTTCCTCGGGGCTTAGAGCACCCGAACTTTACGGCAATGCAGTATACAGTCCGCACAAAAATCGACGATCTCGACGGCAATGCAGTAGACAGTCTCCACAATCATAAACAATCCCGAGCAATGCTCCAACAATCCCGAGCAATGCTCCATACAGTCTGCACATAAATAGGAGATCCCGACACCGCAACTTCAAAAAAACGATGTTATAATGCGCACAACTGACACGGACGCCACGGCCATCCGTCACCCAACCCAACCCAAAAAACTTACCCGGCGCACTAAAAACGATGATGTGTCTGCAAGTGCCAGGTGTGGGATGTGTCACGACTTGCCTGAGGACCCAGAGGAACGAAGGACAGCGTGGTGGAAGATGACGGCATCCCAGGGAATCTTGCTTCTCAGCACGACACTCAAAGCAGACAGCGGGGGTGCGCCTGGGATGAATGGAGGTCCCCCTCCACAGGCGTCGTTCTTGGCGGGAAGCATGATTTTGGCGGGAACCCTGTCCCACCAGATCACGCTGCCTTTCGAAGGTTTTCCGTGCGCGAGAAGCAGCAGCGCCGGAGTCGTCTCCCTGCGGCCCCGGCACACCGACGCGTTCGACCGGCTCCTCTAGCTCCGAGCTCGGCGAGCAGTGCAGCTACCGCTAACAAAAATTTATTTTAAGAAATCGGCGGGCCAGCGCTATGTGTGTGGCACTTTCTCCCCGGCGGTGGCAGCGTGGAGACGTTTTTTTCCACCCACTGTAGAGCCACCATTGCTCGTTTTCCTCGATGTGGCGGCGGCTCTACGATCTTACATTGACAATCTAATCTCTCACAATACAATGGCTACCTCCGCAGCTTCGGCGTCGTGTAGGTAGCTCTCCGATTTACTCGATCTTACATTTACATGCAAATTTCATCACTAGCCCCGCCCACTTCGCTTATGACCCTTGGGCTACACCCATCTTAAACCTTTATAACATCCTGCCTCAGCAGCTTTCCCGCTATTTTTTCACCTGATGACGATTACTTGTGTTTTTCTATCTACGTGGCTTTAGCGAAAGACCCAATGAATATTATCAAGAAATTTAATAATGGAGATTACACATCAATTATCGCCCCCTACTGAAAGACTCATGGCCACATGCAGGCTGGTGCAGGGCCACCTTTTGCCACAAAGAGGTAGCTGCCACTTGGGGGTGCTCTTTGAGTGTTTGTGATGAGATAGGATACGAAACTCCGAGTTGCTGAGGCAATTAAGCAAGCACCATATAAATGCAAATATTATTATAACATAGTAAATGTTATAGCTTATTGGCTCTCACTCCTGGTTAGATATCTACCCAACCCACCGGACCACAAATACTGGCCGCTCTTACTCTGCAGGTTGAAAGTAAGAATTGAGTGTTCAACTTCACATTATTTTCATTAAAGGCAAGTGACAAAGGTGAATCTATTGGAGCTTCTTTGTCTCAAGCTTACACATCTACCGGGTCTCCATTTGACTACGTATTGTCTAAGAAGTCCAGCCAAACCTCGAGTTCCACAAACTGCTGGGAGTTGTCTCGCTCTGCCTCAGAATTCTCCTCCTGCTTCACGTTGCCTCCATCGATGTGAAAATCCGATTTTGGAGTTGAATCTTCATATTCACATTTTACTTTCACTTCTTCGCTCTTCACTCTCACTTCACATTTCACCTTCGCCTCTTCATATTTCACTATGATATCTTTCAAAGTGTCCAAACTGGGATTTACTTCTGGTTCTTGTTTCATGAGGGATGGGCTCAATGCAGCACTTTGACTTTCACAAGCCGATTTCAGACTCCACTCCTTGGAGGTCTTCCAATGCATGTGTGTTATCTGGTATCCTTGAAGATTTGATGAACGTGCAAACGCATTCTCACACACAGCGCACTTAAAGGGTTTCTCTCCTGTGTGTGTTCTCTGGTGTTGTTTAAGACTAGATGAAACTGAAAATGCCTTCCCGCACAGAGTGCATCTGAAGGGTTTCTCTCCTGTGCGTGTTCTCTGGTGGGTCTGAAGAGCTGATGACTGTGAAAACGCCATCTCACAAACAGTGCACTTGAAGGGTTTCTCTCCCATGTGTGTTCTCTGGTGGGTCTGAAGAGCTGATGACTGTGAAAACGCCATCTCACACACGGTGCACTTGAATGGTTTCTCTCCCGTGTGTGTTCTCTGGTGGGTCTGAAGAACTGATGACCGTGCAAATGCCTTCTCATACACTGCGCACTTGAAAGGTTTCTCTCCTGTGTGTGTTCTCTGGTGGTTTTTAAGAGCAGATAAAAGTGCGAACGCCTTCCCACGCACAATGCACTTGAAGGGTTTATCTCCTGTGTGCGTTCTCTGGTGGATCTGAAGATGTGTTGACTGTGCAAATGACTTCCAACACACAGTGCACTTGAATGGTTTCTTTCCTGTGTGAGTTCTCTGGTGGATCCGAAGATGTGTTGAACATGCAAAAGACTTCCAACACACAATGCACTTGAAGGGCTTCTCACCAGTGTGTGTTCTCTGGTGCTGTGTCAGGTTTCTAGGACGATCCGTCCTGTATGGACACTGGTCGCATTGATGCCTTTTTGTACCGAGCTGCGGTGAGTGCCTTTGCTCCATCAGATCAATTCTGCAGAGCAAAGAGGCAAAGGAAGCGCCAGCTGCAGGCAGAAAAAAAATCCACACCATCTACATCACTATCAAGATACAGAGGAATGCATAGTTACACAGTTACATGCGAATTGCACGTCTATACTCTTTTGTTGTTTTGGTAAAGTCACGTAGATAGAAAAATAATAAAAATAAAGTGAATAAAAAATATATAAATACTGTAGCCTGGTTCTTAGTCGGAGTGAGTGTACTGGCAGTCTATAATGTAGACTGTAGCAATGTTTATTAAGCTGGGTGAGTGTACTGGCAGTCTATAATGGAGAAAAAACCTTGGTGAGCATACTAGCAGTGTATAATGTAACTGTAGCCTGGTTCTTAACCTCGGTGAGTGTACTGCCAGTCTATAATGTAGACTGTAGCCTGAAAAAAAGCCTTTTTCTTTTTTAGGCTACAGTCTACATTATAGACTGCCAGTTTTGTTTTTCTAGGGCCATTGTGATATTCTCAAACTACATAATTATTGAAGATGCTATGTATGCATGGGGCCAGACCGAATTTCCGTTACAAGCCAAGTTGAACAGGAAAAGGCTCTAACTCCTGGTCATGCAGCTTTAGCCGGGCCGGCAAAAAATCATAAAAATCCTCAACGAATGTAAGCAGAGGCAGAGACATTGACAACAAAGACAACCCAAAGCCCCAAGCCTCTTTACGGTACCATAGGCATATTCTTGGTTCTTTCAGTAAAGTCACGTAGAATGGAAATAATACAATACAAATAAAACAATAAAATTATCACGGCATTTCAATTGCAACACAAGCAATCATCATCAGGCGTGAAAACCACACCAAGAAAATTTGAAAAAAGTGGCGTTTTTTTAAATGTGAGCACCACGGACAGCAATTGGCGGTTGGTCAGACGGACAAGTCCATGGCCTTAATTAAATCAAGAAAGCATTGATTTAGTTTCTGCTGATATTTCGTACTCCTGTGCTGTACCCAATGGACAGAAAATACAGGAGCACCTTGAATAGCGCGGAGATTACATTCTTGGAAAGTGCAGCGAGAAAACAAAAACGGTGATATTCAATACTTAAGCCTTACCTAAATAACGGAGTTATGTAAACTGCAAACTAAAATATAAAACATCACAATTGAAATAAGTTTTTTTTTTATTTGAAGCTTTGTTTTATTTTATTTCTACCTACGTGACTTTACCGAAAGAACCAACGAGCAAGTACTGTACTGTATCCCAAATAAACTAATTAGTGAAATTAACGTGGAGAAACCGTGTACAAAAACAAATTCCGAGACATAAATAAATAAATAATGGATGAACTCGTCCGTCTGAACGGGGCCCGTAGCTATCCGTGTTGCTAAAGTTGAGGGTAAGAATCCACCCATTTTTTTTCGCCATATAGCATTGTGATATATAACGATAGCTTAGCTGATTGGAGAATATATAGAGTTTATTGATAACATTGAGGTAATTTATATTTTCGTTTTTTATTGGTTCACTATATAGTATTCATTATATATTGTAGTGTATACCCAGTTACTGTGAATAACTCAGATGTGTAGGCCTTGACTTCAACATAGCCATTTCTGTGACCAGTCACAAGCTAATCACTCAGTTATTTCAATGCTAAATTCGCCTAGTTATTTCAATGCTAAATTATCCTGTTTGATTTGTACTAGGTGCCTCTGTGAATGTGTATGCTCTGACTTTAACATGGCTATTTCTGTGGCCAGTTACAAGCTAATCACTCAGCCATTTCAATACTAAATTCTATGCTAATTCCTTTGTCAAGGCGCTTTGTTTCTTCTCACACAGCTTAAAGGTCGCGATCTGAGCGTGGCTTTTTCACTCCAGCGCTGTCCTCAAGACAGTCTCGTCCCTTCACCTGATGAAGGCCGCTTGTGTTGTGGCCAAAACGTCGTGAGAATATTATTGTGTTATTTTATTTTATCAATGTATTATTTTATTCTCATTCTACGTGACTTTACCGAAATAACCAAAGAAGAAGAAGAAGCAAGGCAGCTTGCAAATAGCACAATTACTGCAACCAGGTGCCTACCCTGCAGTCAAGATGAAAAGTCTTCTATTCCATACATTCTTCACTTAATTAACACTTCTGATCTATTAGTTGCTATTGGTTCCATGTCTCCTGCTTGCAGGCAGCTATTTGCACGCAATGGCATGGAAAGGAGACCTTCAGGACCATGCTGGAACTGTACAATGGTTCAGCTGCCTCCAATTAATGACCATCCCGAACCCATTCATGTACTGTATTGATAACTGCCAACACTACCTATGCAAGCCATTTCCGAAAGAACAATACAAGACAGAACTAATGCTTCCAAATCACATCTTAAGGAACCAACCAACTCATCCCAACATCTGGCTACATGCCCACATTTAAAGTGCAGGGCCAGGTACATAATCGCATTGGTAGTCTGCTGCCACTACCTAATTACCTACACCTACATTACTAGAGATCTACTTTCATGTCTGACAATACTATACAGGCTCATCAGCATTGCAACAATGTCATCAACACCAAGATGCAAGTACTATTGCTATTGCAAGACATGCTCCATAAGGAAAACTCTTATATTCACAGTTTCAAGTGTGCCATGGAGAAGATGACTTCAGAGTAAAATGTTGTCATTCGTGCCGAATAAACTTCACACGTCAACATGAGTGCCGCTTAAATGCACACACAAGATCTGAAGTCGCTGTCATTCTGACTGCTGAACAACATGGCACTCGAGGGATCGTCTTGCAACTGAAAAATACCCTACACAGAATTGAAAAACACAGATCTTATGATGCTCATCAATGTCCACTGATTTTCTGGCAAAGTGATGATGGTTACCATTTCATACTTCGCCAAACTGACCCAGCAACAGGCTTGCCAACACAAAAGATTTCCGCCATGGACTTCTTTGCCTTCAGGGTCACGGTGTGAAACGCCAGCTTCAATCTCTTCTTGAGATGCTAAGAGCTCTTGCACCAATTTGATGTCGACATGGATGTCAAAATTGAAGCTTCATTCCATTAAACCCACCAGATAGAAAAACATAAAATACTGTCTATCCTGAAGCTCTTCACGGGTAACAAATGTAAATGTTGTCCTCATGAAACTAACAAGCCCTGCAAATGTATAACACAACCAAAAAACCGTGACAAAATACACACATTTATCGACTTTATTGGCAGAATTCAATACTTAGAATTGGCCACGTTCTGTTCAAGTGACAAACCTTCCTAATTGGCTGTGTCAGGTGGTGGCAGGTTTAACGACACCTTTATATATTTATTATGCGATCTAACCCAAACAAACCTGGATTACGGATGTATATTTGGAGTTTGCGTGTCTCTCTCCCCGTGGTGTTGTATACAGCCCTTTTTCCACAATATCAATAATAATATTTGCCGATGTTTTTTTTAATAGTAACAAAAATAAATAATAAACACTGCTACGACAAGGACCAGCAAACAGCAGATGGAGATCGTAAAAAGGCCTTAACAAAATAAATAAATAATAACCTCCGGGGCAAAGAGAGGTTAGCGACCATCTGCAAAATCTCCAGATTGCCAAAGGACAATTCACAAACAAACCTGTTGATGCAAGACAGCCGCCGGGGTCACCAAAAGGGAAGGGGAAATTCCAGGCTTCAGGACCCCCCCCCCCTTTCGTCAGCCCACTGAGTGATGCCATACAGAAAGAGATTTAAACATATTACCCTTCTTACCTATTAATACGACGGTTAAAGTTTAGAACTTAGTAAATAGGTCGACATCGTGTATGTATGCGGACAGGGAGCAAAAGCATAAAACCCTTGGAATATCGGAGGTAACATCTAATGATGAACTGTTAAATCACAAATCTTGGGGACAGAATGCAGTGTTACATCAAGGGTTATTGAGAAGGAAGGAGGCGGAATGGGACGGGCTTACACAGCCAAGATAGACTGTGTTCCATAGGAGAGAGCCTCCTGGCCGCCTTTGTCTTCCCGCAGCGCGAGAGAGCAGGAATTTAACACCAGAGCGAGGGAAATTTATTATCGCGGGGGCCATCTGTACACACTGCGCTAAACTTAATGATACACACACGGACTACACCCCCCCCACAACACAGAGGGAGCATGTTTTTTTTTTCTCTCGCAAGAGACGCGGAGAGAGGAGAGAGAATTTCACTTTTTAAGCTCGGCAAGGGACAGCGAGACAGCAGATCGGAAGAAGACATCAAGCCAGCTCCGAGGCATGGTCTCGAAACATTAGTAATGTTTGCTGTGTCCCGCAGAGAAGAGGGGCGAGGGGATGTTAGGTGCTGAGTTCGGCATGGACCGACAGAGTATCGCTGAAAGTTATTCTACATTCATCCTTATGTTTTGAGTCGCTTGCAGAATCGAGGATTGCGATAAGCTGTATCGTACTAAGCTATCAGAGTTGTGTAAGAGGTGTGCAAATACAATTTTCAAGTTTTGAGAGTGAGCGACAATTAAGCTCTCGAAGTTCAACAAGGCACAGTTCGGCCAGCTACAGAAGAGGGCAGCGAGCGGCAGGCCCTGAGGTGGGCCCTGCGATCAACCTAGGATGGCGAGGCTGGCAGAGTAAGCGATGTGAGTTCAGAGCTGAAAGACGAAGTATCGCTCAAAGACTTTTATTCTACATCGAGTGCCAGCTGCCAGCACCAAGTGTTGTGCCGACTTGGCTCATCCAGCAGGAGAAAGAGCCTGACCAGCCGCCCGTGAGCAAAAGAGTCAGCGAACCAGCGAAGAGCGTGATTTCGCGCATCTCCACGGAGAGAGCGCGTGCGGCGCAGCTCATCATCCAGCGGCGGAGATAATCTTCAGTCAACGTCCAACGCCGAGCGATAGAGGGAACCAGCCGTTGTTCGTATACCCCTCCCCCACGTTCACAAACCCATGACGCTTACGTCGTCTGCTCACACCAGAATTTACCAAAGAGACAATCCACCGCACCCACACAATATTAAGACTAATTATAAAGTGCATTAAAATATCAACTGATCGTGAAGAACATTGCTGCCATTGAGTTACGTAAATACGGT